TTCCAAAACTGCTTTGAAGGGTGGACTAGGCACTGGCATCAGTGCATACCTTCCCAAAAGGAGTACTTCAAAGGTGACCATAGTGATATTCAGCAGAGGTATGTACCACTTTTTCCCGGATAATTATAAACTTAAATTGTCCAACCTCGTATGTAAAAATCAACTTAAAAAGTAGAAAATGTGATTAATGAAAATGTCATTTACTATAGCAACAAAAACTAGGGTAATTATTAACAGGAATAAGCCTAAGATGTGTATGAGCTTATTATAAAACATAAAGCATAGTGAAATTATGTCTTTATAAGTAAATATAAAATAAATGGAGTGGTATTATGGTCTATTCATAGATGAGAAACACAATACCCCCCAAATAATCTGTATGTTCATTACAATCACACAAACAAGCAATGTAACAAGCAGATTCCCAAATTTATATAAAACAAATATCCAACAACAAGGCAGGCATTTTTAAGAAGACGAGGGGAACCATTCTACCATTTATGATAACCAAGTATAAGGCCTCAATGATTAAAACAGTGGGCTATTGATTAAGTTGGATAAATGCACCAACTTAACAAAATAGAAAGCCCAGAAAATATCTCCACAATTGTATGATTGAGGTGGCTTTATAAGTCAAGAGGGAAAGGATGAACAATTTTTTTAAAGATGCTAGGAAAACTAGCTATCCACGGAGAATTAACAAAAGACTCCATGAGAATGTATTCACTACCTTACTTTAGGGAAGGGGTTCTTAAAGAAAGAGAACAAAACATAGACTGCATTTACTATACTTAAATTTTAAAACTTCTGTATGATATTATAAACAATGTAGATATATGAATGTTCTAATTCTCGTTTTTTATATAAAAGACCCCCAACCAAAACTAAAAGTCTATAAAATACATAGGAATAAGGCTCATATGATGTGTTCAAGACCTTTAAGAAAGTTATTAAGATTTTATTCAGCTGGGCGCAGTGGCTCACACCTTTAATCTTAACACTCTTAGAAACTGAGGCAGGTGCATCGCTTGAGCTCAGGAGTTCGAGACCAGCCTGAGCAAGACCCCATCTCTAAAAAAAATAGCCAGGTATTGTGGTAGTTGCCTGTAGTTCCCAGCTACTTGGGAGGCTGAGGGAAGAGAATCGCTTGAGCCCAAGAGTTTGAGGTTGCTGTGAGCTATGATGCCACTGCACCCTACGAAGGGTGACAAAGTGAGACCCTGTCTCAAAAAATAAAAAAAAAGAAATGAATTTTTTATTCAAAATACAAAAGACTCTAATAAAATGAGGCCTATTATGATACTCATGAGAAAAATTGTATTTTTTTTTT